GGCCTTTCGGTTGCTCAGTCACACCAGAAGCTCACTGTGCCCAAATGATAGGATAATAATATATTATCATTAAAAAAGGATATGTGTCTGCCCATCTGTGCCGTAATGCCGGAAGCATGGAAAAGAGATGCTGGAAACTTGGCATGTATACGAAGGGGCTCCTCAGGTGCACAGCTCAACATTATTCTGTTTTTAAAACCCCTTCGCTCTAAGCAGTGCTTTTTTTGTAAAAAAAAAAAAAAAAAAAAAAGGTGCCGGAACTCACATCTTGGGGTCACACAAAGCCAGTCACTCTACACATACATAAACATAGTGGTCGCTGCAGGCAGAAAGCACTCACTCACTATCAGCCTGGACACAAAAGCAGCCCGCAGGCACTATGTTAATAATGTTTGCTGCTGATTTGCTACGCCCAACAGGCGATTCAAAATCACTTCGTAAAATCCATTGGAAAAAATGGTGCCAGAACGCAGTTCCAGTGCGTTCTGTGACAAAAAAAGCCCTGACTCTGTGTAATGTTAATGTGTCCCTGTGCCTGAAACCCATCTACAGTTCCATCTACAACCACTAGGGGCAGGCTTCCCAGACTGACAGGGCTTTGCAGCCCAGTTTGAAGCTGCAGCGGATTAGGGGGCCAAGAGGCAGACTTCTACACTCCTCCCCTCTCCTGCTGCCCAGCAGCCCAGCTCAAGGGGTGGGCAGACTCCTCCTGGGCCACGGGGGTGCAGGTGCCATGCGTAGGAGTGCATGGCGCAGTGTATCCAATCCTGAGAGATGCATACCTTTAGTTGAAGGCTTTGCTGTCTCAGACTAAGGGCTATTCTAACTCGTGCAAAACTGCTGATGGGTTGATAATAAGCGGGTTCTGTTGACTAGTCTATAATAAATCCCTGAATGACTTGAGGGCTACATAGCTGAGCAGGCAGCCCTCTGGTACTACCCGCCTGACATTGAGTGAGGATGCTGCCATAGAGTTGGCACCTGTGTGCTCATCTAGGCACTGGAAGCATATAACCAAGTGCTCTCAGTGGAAAGCCCTGAGTTATGAAGTACCATTTCTGTGGATACGTGCTTGGGCCTGAGCTTGGCTAGATGTCAGCTGGGCCTTCTTCCACCAGCCTGGAGTAAAGCTGGTTTTGCTTATAATGTTGTAAAATGTTATCGGTCCTGTTTATAATGCTTTGCTTATAATAAAAACACAATTCAGCCAATACTGTTATTGCTGGTGGCACAGGGAACAACATTAAAAACAATTTCTTCTTTAAAAAAAAATAACTAGCGGGTTGCCTCACGTTTCCCAGGAAAGTTTCACTGGAACTGTGTCAACAGCTTACTCGGGCAGAAATCCCATTAAAATCATGCATGCATAGCTAAGGGCAGGATTGCACTTAAGCAACCAAGTGAGGATTTCAACTAGATTTGAACTAGAGACTCCCACAAAGCAAATCTGACATTGTCGCTCCATTGCCCTGCCAACTCCTTCTGGGAAAGGCCCTTGTAACTCTATGCTTTGTAGGACTCTAGCAATAAGGGAATACAAAGATGTTAGTTAGGTGCCTTCATGAATTGCTGCCAAAATTCAGCCAATTATTTGGCTACAAACCATGCTTTGGCAGGAAATGTGGAAATACAGTGTGTTGCACTACTGCTGTTAGACTCACAAAGACCAGTCCCTGCAGTGGCTTTCTGCTCTGATAAAGTCATTAAAGCTTCCTTCTGCAAAATGGCTTCCTGTTAAAAACAAGTGTTTGTACTAAGGAACTGGGGTCATTATCCTCTTTCTGTTTTGTTCTTAGCTTGGGAACCTCTAGAGATCTCCAGAACATAATTAAAATGCACATAGGCATTTATTTGTTTCAACAAATTTCCAAAACTAGCCACCCTGCACTCCTTCTTTAGCCAGTTTGGCTGACATTTAAGCCCTGTAAGGCTGAGAGCTCTGGTTTTTGCTGTGGAACTAGTAAATGTCATGCGAATGCATTGCCACATTCAGTTGACTGAAGCAGCTTTCATTCGCAAAGTGTCAAGGTTCAATGTGTGCAAAGTTGTGGCAGTTGGTGGGGTGGGGGAAAGAACAGCTTTTGCTGAGCTTGTCCACGGTGCCTAGCAATACATCAGTGCTTCAGTTAAGCAGATCTGCTTTCTCTTTTGGTCCTTGAGAGGTGTGTATGTGATGGACAGACAGCCGTTGGTTCAGGCGGTTCATTATTCTGAAGAGGTTGTTTCTACAGCACAGTCTTTATGCTTGATTGGTCTGAAGTTGGTCCTGTTCCCTTGAAGCTGGCTTATGCCCTAATCCAGGGCTGAGGAACTAGCAGTTGTTGGGCTCCGGTTCCCTTTGGCCCCAGGCAGCTTGGTCAATGGTTGTGAATGCTGGGAACTGCTGCTCAAAAGTGCCTGAAGGGCCACAGCTTCCCCATCCTTGATTTAATGTTTCAGATTACAGATGTGCATATTCAGTTCTGTAATTGGCGCAGGGTGGCTACATGATATGGAAGCCCTGTGCCGGATTCTTCCCCTTGGTGATGCTTACCCTGTACCCTGGTGCTGGTATGAGCTGTGCTTCCTCAGAAGCAGTAGCCTATGAAACGCACATGAAAATAATGTCAGGACCAGTTAAGCTAGACCTGACATAGACCTGAGAGGCAGAAGACAGCACAGGACTCCACCATTCGTCATGCCCCTCGCGGTTGGTCATCCGTCTCTCCAGCCAGTAAAGCTGGAAAATAAGTGGAACTTCTCACTTATCCAGTCCCTCTCAATGGAGCTGGATAAGAAAAAGACACAGGCAGAGCCTGGGAGAAATCTTTTGACATTGGGGGACCCACTGTTGTAACAAGCAGTTACTTTCTCCAAGGCGGTAAACTGCAGATACGTTGACTATAACTCCTGTCATCCTTGGCTGACACACTGGCTGGGAACTGTAGTCCAAAATGCTGGAAGTCACCAGGTTAGAGAAGGCTGTGCTATATGAAAACCGAGTTCTAAAGTTTCTCCAACAGTAGGGCCATTACCCAACTAAAAAAAAAACCTTGATCAACTAATCAAATGAGTTTAAGACTGCATGAACCTCCAAGACAGGGTCTCCCCCCTTGTTTCAGAAGGTTCACACACTTCTCAGAAGGGTTGTGCCTATGTGAAGATAGTGCACGTCTTTTCAGGTGGTTCTTGCCATCTGCACTTTTTTAAAGTGTGTATGTTTGCCCAATTTTAGATTAATTTTAAAGGATTAAAAAACTTTGGGGATAATTGATTGCAAGTTGCAGCTCTAATTAAAAGAAGAGAGCCCAGGCAAATGTTTTGAAAAGTTGGTGGGGTCACAAGCTAACACCCCAGAGTGGTTTTCTGGCAAAACTACAGCCAGTGCTTCCTCGATGCATTTGTTTTTCTTGTTGACTGGCAGCAGGTTAGGGAGCCAGGTTTGGCCCAGCGGCTGCTAGTTGTGCCTTTCTAAAACAGACTACCAGAGAGCCAGTGTGGTGTAGTGGTTAAGAGCATGGGACTGGGACTCAGACGATCTGGGTTCGAGTCCCCGCTCAGCCATGGAGCCAACTGGGTGGCTTTGGGCCAGTCACAGGCTCTCAGCCCAACCTACCCCGCAGGGTTGTTGTTGTGGGGATAAGATGGAGGAGGAGAATGATGTAAGCTGCCTTGAGCCCTTTGTAGGAAAAAGGCAGGATATAAATCACAATATAAATAAATAAAAACCCTGTGAACTACCCAAATTGAAAGTTATACCCAGATGAAAATGTGATGTGGTAAGGGTAAAGGGCACATTATGTGCTGCCAGTTCATCATTTCTGAGCTAGGTCTCTCTTGAATTATTATAAGAAATTTCAAAAAACTGTTTTTGTGCTCTAGGGAAAAGCCGTTCCCGTTTATTTCAGTGGGCAAATAAGTCAAGATGGAGGTGGGTTGTGGAGGAGCGATTCTTAAAACAGACTGCTACCATTTCATTTTCTTCATCTCCATCATGGCCTACGATAATAGTTCTCTGAAGTCCAATTATAATAAATTCATGGATGAGTCATCCTAACCACATTCTCAATTCCCCCCACAGAAATCTTGGATAGTCTCAGAACACTTTATCCTCTTTCTTTGCTTTTGCCTGATAATTTTCTCAGAACCTCAAGCCTGCTAGACTCCTCTTAAGCTATACGCTTTTATTTCATATTTTCATCCTCCGTCTAATTTAGAAGCTTTAGGGAGCTAGCAATAAAAATAGCAGAAAACACCACCTAATACCCAATGCATGGGGCAGAACTAGATGTTAGGGGAACATGTAGGTATCAGCAGAAATGGAGCTCCTGCATTCTTCACCTCCACACCCTCATTGCCAGCGGTTACAAACAGACCGTAAGCCTATAAGCACAGCCCTGTTGATTCTGCCTTTCTTGTAGTCATAGGGAGGGCACTATCCTGCCATTTTTGTGTCTTTTCCTTTAGAGCTTGTTCTTTCTAAAAATGGCTGGCAAATGCTGGGAATTGTGGGACGTTTTCCCTTACAGCTCCCAGCATTCCCTAGCCACACTTTTCCATCTGAGCACGCATACAATTCCCCCGTCTCACACAGCTGCAGTCAGTGTAACATGCTTGTTTCCATCCTGTATGAGTAAAAGACTCAGCTCTAGGCCAGCTTAAACAGGGAAGAGGCTGGGGCATGCTTTTTTCTGTCTAAACTTGTGTGACATTGTGCTTTTTTCTGTATCTTTGCTATTAATGACTACTTTTTGTTTTCTTTTTAAAACAATAATGTCTGAGCACGCATACAATTCCCCCGTCTCACACAGCTGCAGTCAGTGTAACATGCTTGTTTCCATCCTGTATGAGTAAAAGACTCAGCTCTAGGCCAGCTTAAACAGGGAAGAGGCTGGGGCATGCTTTTTTCTGTCTAAACTTGTGTGACATTGTGCTTTTTTCTGTATCTTTGCTATTAATGACTACTTTTTGTTTTCTTTTTAAAACAATAATGTTCTATTCATCTTTTTTTTTCTTGCTAGGTGCTGTGTAATGGCCCGGGCACATGCGTTCCCATATGCATCTCTTCCCTTCTGCTCAGGATGCTGGGACTAAAGAGAGTAACCATTGTGTATGTTGAGAGCATCTGCCGTGTGGAAAACTTGTCACTGTCTGGGAAGATTCTTTACTACTTTTCAGATTACTTCATTGTTCAGTGGCCTGCTCTGAAAGAAAAATATCCAAAGTCTCTCTATCTGGGGCGAATAGTATGACAACAAAGGACAAATTCACCTCCAAATTCTTAATATGCTTGAATTTCTACTCAACACTCACAAGTTTGTACAAATCAAGCAACACTCAGGAAAGGATTCCTAAATAAAGTGGGATTATCTGCATGCTATCCAAGATTGCAAAACTGGCAACCTAGAATGACGCTTCGGTTCCCCATTCCATCAGCGATTTGGCCTGTCTTGTTTCAGTTTTTGGACCTTTGTTGTGAGTGTTTCTTGGCCCTTTTCCCTTGATCCACTTTTCACCACAAGAGAGGTTTTTTTAAGGTGTTAAGGAATGAGATAAACTGGGTAATATGGCAGGGGCAAAGGAATATTGGAAAGTGTGAAATAGGATTGTTATTATTTGTGTCATCCATCAGAATGTATCACAGAGTAGAGAGGGCAGTATAAGTAATCTTATAAAAAAGACACGTCCCTCCCCTGAGCTTGTATGGGTCATCAGTGTTGATTCCTGTTTCATTTTATCACTTTGGTTTTCCATTTTTCCTCCTTGATCTCTCTTTCCTGCACTCTCTATCTAAGTATCTATCTAAGGTAACATTCAGTTCAAAGATGAAAATTATTCTTAAATATATGATGTGGACCTGTGTGTAAGACACCATCCTGGACGCAAGGAATTAGGCCTGCTGCCTCACCAGTTCATTCATGAGGGTACATACTGTATTCTTCGCATGTATTTCACATGTTTCTCCAACATACTGAGTGATGCTTACAGTGGGTGGTCAGAAAGTGGATCCCTTGATATTTAGGACTTCCATTCCCAGCTTTCCTGACAATTGAACATGCTAGCAGGAGTTCTCAGAGCCGAAATCTAAAACATCTGACATCTGCCCAGCCTTGCTCTACGCTATTGACTCCCATTGAACTTTGCATTGAGAAACTCCATGGGGAAAATGCTGGCCTTTGTCAGATATTTTCTTCCATAGCCACTTCTGCTCCTCTGCTTCATATATTATGCAGTTAATAGTCTGGGCTGCATTTACTTGCGTGCAGATTTCCTTGACCCGTAGACTCATTTCCAGAGAAAGACTATGCTGGATGTTGGGATCCTGCAGGCTCACTTCTAAAGCCATTAGGGTGCCACAACAGCACAGAGAAGTTGCTTAATCATGCCCCTAAAATGCAAGAAACGGGTTCTTGCTCTAGTAAATAACCCCTGTTTCCTGTATGCAAGCAGTGAAATCCCTGGTGAATATTTTAAGCATAAAGGAAACCGATGTACTAACTTGGCTTCATGACAGTTTTCTCTCTTCAGCCTTTCCAAAACGCCAAAGTATTAAATCCTGTATCCTTTTTCCTTTTGGCCGGTCAGAGTTGGCCCTGTGATCTAAAGTTCATTTCTAAAGCTTGGTGTTGAATTGTTAAGATAAATGAAAAGGTAGCGGATGCCCCAAACAGATGCAGCGCTTGTACACGGAAGAGACAGATTTTTCCAAGTTGAGCATTAAATCTTTTTTAAACAGTGTTCCATTTCAGAGAACAAACTGTCATTAGGAGGTGGTGAGATCCTTTAGCAAACTTCGCAGTCCCATGTGTGAGTACTTAAATGAACATTAACAATGCCAAAAAAAGGAAGAAATGAAATGAAAAAATTCCACTTTCTCAGTGAACCTGAGTTTTGTATATGTAGGTTTTGTCTGTTTAAAAGTGCAAGACATGTTTAGTCAATCTTGAAGCTACCCCTCCCCTTAAATGGGAAATGGCGCTTAATATCAACACTATTAGTAAATAAATTTTGACTGAATTTCATCAAGTCTGTTGCAGCCATTGAAGTTCATCTGGCAAATCCTAACCTTATTTGTTCTGTATATAAAGCAGAATAAACACATCTGCCATCTACATACACAGTTATATTGATGAATACATTTTGGCTGGAGAGGCACATACATTGGAGGAAGTACCAGGAAAGTGGCAGCAGTCTGTGTGTGAACCAAAAATGGAACACGAGGAAGCCCAGGTGACAAATCTAAGTATGTTGTGACAAGAGACTAATACCTTTTACTTGCTGTAACACCTGTGAAAGTTTCAGTAATTCGTTCTGGAGAATGAAGAGCAGTTTCCTAGTTGCTGGTGCCCACAGTTTACAAATAGGACCAAAGGGTTTGATTTGGGGTTTTCTTCTTGAGAAGAATGCTATTTTGATGCTGCTGAATGCTGATGCAAGTTTGGCAAGAGAAGGAAGCTTATTAGAGGGCAATCTTTTCTATGGTCACAAAGTATTTTTAATATCCCGTGAGGATCTGGTTCGGATTTTCTGAACAGCTCAGTTTTCATTTCAGCGGGGAAACTGGAAATCGGCATAGCTCTGATGAAACCATCAATCACAGCGTTTGGCTTGGCATAGGCTTCTCAGGACTTCGGCTTTCTAAAATCATAATAATACATTTCTGGACCACATAGGGAAGGGGTAGTTAGATGAACGAGTCAGAAATCATCTAGGGACCAGCAGAGAGGTTCGCATCTCCCTTTCTGAATGCCCTAATAAACTATATCGTACTAGGAGAAAAGCCATACACTAGGAAGTCTTTCATTCACATGCCACAGCAGCCATAAAATAATTCAGTATCATTAGACAAGCAACTTGCTCAGCCCCAGCACTTATGATATAGAAATAATGTCCTACCTTTTAGGGCTGTTGTTGAGATTCCTGAGAGAATGAATGTGAAATACTTTGTCTGCTTAAGAAATGGCTGGTTTACACACTAAACATTATTCATCCCCCGCTTCCACATTATGCTAGCAGGCTAGTCCTTACTGCAGAAAGTGCAGAGCGAAGCATACTGACTTGAAAGTAAGTCTGATCTGAATGAATGGGGCCTGCTTCCGAGTAAGGATGCTTAGAGTTATGGCTAAACTTCTCTCGGCCCAAGAGCTGAATTCCATTGCAGAGATGCTACTTTCCCATTGTGGGTGAAAGCCAAGTACCAAAGAAGTGGAGCCAAAAGAGCAAATACGACATATTCCAGCTGAACACTTCCTGCCTGTAGCTAAACCATAAGAGTTGCATTTCAACATTTTTAGAAGGGGGGGAAATAACACAAGGGGGGTGGGGGGGACACAAAAGGCAGGACAGGGGTGGGGACAGCAGAAGGAGGTGAGCTGGGGAACTTTTGGGGGCCGTTTGAAACCTGCTTGGAACCCTGAGCTGCAGCTTTTACACCGTTGTTTAAGAGTGCTTTCACCTCCTGAGTGAGGCAACAGAAGCTGATATGAATAGCAATGACCTGCTTTAGGTAATATGGCACCCATTCCCGTCTATAAAACTACACAAGTAAGTTTTCATTTTCATTATTATTCAGTGGAACTGATTCCCAGGTAAGTGTGCTCAAGACTCAGCCTTATTCTAGTAGCAGGTGAAAGAATTGTGGAATTTAGTACAGAACTATAGACATCCCAGTATATACCAGCAATTTTAAAAATAATACTATTTTATCTCGCCGTTCATTCACTGACATTTTATTTCACAACAATCCTGCAAGTTAAATGAGGCTGTGAGAGTAACTGGTGCAAGGTCAACCTCTAATCTTAATGGCCAAGCATTAACACCGCAGATTTGAAACTGGATCTCTCCGGTCTAAGTCCAGTCCTCCAGTATAGAATACTATCTCTCTATATTTTCCTTTTGTAAAACAAAAATGACACATTCTGTGTGAACATAATTTCTAAGGCTAATCTCTCCAACAGGGTATTCCATCCAAGCTGAACTAATAGACTTTGGTTTGGCCTCATTGTGTAGGTTTGACTGTTTGATTTTCCTTTCCTTTGTTTGGTTTTCTGTAAATCTTTGTCCCTACACGTAAGTGTGAAGTAAAGTCAGAAGTAATTGCAAAAGAATCATGCGTGCTGGTTTAGTTGGAGGAGCACTGTTACTTCGACCGTATGTCTCTCTCACATATTTAATAACCCTCTGTCTTTAATGGGACTCTGTACGACGGCTGAAGGTTCTTTCTGGGGAAGAATTCTGGGCAATGTGTGTGAGCGAGCAGTGAATATCCTTATACAGTACCTGACACAAAGATCTACTTACACATACTACCTTTTGACCTAGTAATTCAAATGGGAGTTATGTTATTGGGACTTTTGTGCAGAGTTGAACATTGTTTTGGTAAATAAGGGGAAATGGAGTGCTGTCTGTAATGACTCAGACTCTTAGTTCCCTGGGAACATTCATTGTGTGCTCCTTTTGGGACTTGCCAGTATTCTGCAGTCTAAAAGAGGCCCACCGCTTTTGCTTAAACGGACAAGGATCCTCATAGCTTAGTAGCAGAACAAATAGTGGATCAAAGGAGTGAAGCTTAGTTCCCCACATTTCCAATGGAGGTCATCGCTGCCAAAAGGCTGGGACCTCTGCTGGAGCCAGTGCTGATCAGAGTAGCAACGTGGGCCTGGATGGATATTATGTCAGACCACTGGCTATCTATACTGGATGGACTCTGCTACAGCAGCTTTGTAGCTTTCTGAGGCATTCAGTGATGGGTTAGAAAGAAAAGTAAGTGTGCATTTCTATCCAGCACACAATGAATATGGCATATTGGACTGGTCCAGAGAGGCAAGATTCAATTCATGCTTGGCAGAGTTGCTATAGGTGGACCTTAGGAACCCATTCAAATAAAGAGGCCAAGCTAACATATGTAAATTGCTGGTAGGGTCAGATAATTCCCAAAGATCTTTCTAACTTGCCTTTTAAAACAGTGGTTGTTTTACATGTTGCACCATGTTTTAATGTGATTGTTTTATCTTCTGATTTTTCAGGGCTGAACCATCTTGGTTGGTTTCAGAAAGGCAGAATAGAAATATGCATTAATGTAGTAACAGGCAAAATTCCAATCTGATGCTTGCTACCAGTATGCCAGGTGGTGTTTAACCTTCCCCTGCTTTCCCCCTTTCCTCTTTTAATATCAGCAACCCCACTGCCCAAGGATGAGCTGGAGAAACATGAAAGGTCCCTTGTTACCTGTAAATTACACATCCCTCCCTTCCCTCTCCACCCAAAGGATGCAACAAAGGGCTGAGCCTCACATACAGCATATAGTAGTTACAAGAGGGGGAAGCGATGACCTAAAAACTCACATGCACAGCCCTGAACACCTTGGAAGGCAGGGTGGTGTACAAATAAATATAATGAAGGTCTCAGACACTGCTCTTAGGGATGGACAGCAATACAGAATGTGTATGCATGTTATTTTGCAACTTCTATAAGCATGTTCTGTAAAGGGGTGCATTACAAGCAACCCTGTTGTTCCTGGTGGGGTTGCCCTGGGCAAGGTGAATACGTAGACCTGTTAAGCATTTCACCTGCAAGGTCAAAGCCTGACTTTGATCTGTGGTTCAGTTTCATAGGCGGGTGTCTTACACCAAACTGTTTTGGAGAATTAAAGGAAATTCCTCTTGGCTTGTTTAGACTTGTTTAACATCTATGTTGTGTGATTTTTAATATCTGTAAGTTTAACACATTAGCAAAATCTGGAAGAGAAGGATCCCACCTAAGGTTGGAAATGTATTTTACTGCCAATGGAACAGCTAATATCCTTTAATGGAATAGGCTGTTTCACATTTAAAACAAAAGGCCAAGCACATTCTGAACTCATATTGGATGTGAGTATACAAACAGATCATAACCCAGAGAAGACTTGTTTTAATCTAACTTCCATCAAGCCTTTACTATAGTTAAAATGCCCTACTCATTGCCCAAGGCATAGTCAGACTCTTAAATCATGGTCCAATAAAAAGAAGTGGTGTCAACAATTGAGATGGTCTTTTCCTTGAAAACATTTCATATGGATGTGTTAGTTCTTTTGAAAATCTTGACACAGCAGTGGCAACATTAGCATTCTTTTAATTATGCAATTGCTCTTATCTGTTTGTGGGCAAAGGTTACAGGGAAACAATTGATGTTTTCATTTCAAATACACACATTTGTTAACCTCAGCAACCATAAAGGCAGCATGTAGGAGAGCCGGTGTCCTGCAGTGACTAGAACGGTAGACTCAGGCTGGAGAGCTTTGGTTCACATCTCTGCTGAGTTGGCCTTCACTGGATGGCCTTGGGCCAGGGGTTTGCCTGCCCCAAATGGCTCCCAGATGAAAGCCTTCCTGAGACAAGGGAACTCCCATCAGAACCAGACCGACATGTGCAGGGGGTGGTGTCCTTCCTCCCCCGCCACTTCCCATGGCAAGCGCATGCCTCAGGACTACAAGCCAGTTCAGGAAATACTGCCTAGCCTTAACATTTGGAGTCTCCCTCTAGCTCTGCTTGTCCAGACAGTCAGCAGCAACTTATAAAACCTCCCTTCAGTGAACTGGTAGCTTACTTCTGTTCTTGTTCACCGTGTGCTCCTATGCACTGGCAGGATGTGACACCACCAGGAGATGGTACTAAAGACAACTGAAAGAAGTTCGGATGCACTGGAGTTTCTCACACAGGGTGCCCTTTCTTCCTTTCTGTAAAGGGAACTTACAGAAAATATGACTTCCAACATAGCAGTGTGGAAATCCCCACAGGAGATTAGAGGTTTCAAAGTAATTGATCATGAAAAGCAATCTCAAAACAATGATTCTGTCTTCAGGAACTTCCTGCTATGGTAATAGCTAAGTAACAGAGCGACTTCCAGCAAAACCAAGTTTTTCCAGCCAAGGCTATCTTTCTTTGACATTCTATTCAGAAAAGAAGGTTGAATTTGGGAAAGCCATCTTCATGCAACAAAGAACCAAAAAATGGGTATTTGTCCTAATCCAGCCATATCCAACCTGTGGC